CATTTCAAAAAATGTTAAATAAGTCCTTGGACATTCTAAAATATGTTAAATAAGTCCTTAGACATTCCAAAAAATGTTAAATAAGTCCTTGGACAATTTTTGGAACAAATAAGTCCTTGGACAATTTTTGGAACAAATAAGTCCTTGAACAATCCAAAACATGTTAAATAACTTCTTGAACTTTTATAGAACATGTTGGATACATTCTCATGACTTGTACAACTAGTTAAAATGGTAATTATTTTTTTGTAAATTTAAGTACTTTTTTTTATATTTGTTTAATTTTATAAATCTAAATACTTTTTGGTTCAAAAAATATTTAGGGGCTTAATCGTTCAAAATATGAATGTTCATTGGGTTTTTTTCGGGATTTTTTTCACTATTTTACCACTTTATTTTTTTCAAAAAGTTATTTAACATGTTTTGAATTGTTCAAGAACTTATTTGTTCCAAAAATTGTCCAATGACTTATTTAACATTTTTTGGAATGTCCAAGGACTTATTTGTTCCAAAAATTGTCCAATGACTTATTTAACATTTTTTGGAATGTCCAATGATTTATTTGTTCCAAAAATTGTCCAATGACTTATTTAACATATTTTGGAATGTTCAAGGACTTATTTAACATGTTTTGGAAAGTCCAAGGACTTATTTGTTCCAAAAAAAAGTYCAAKGACTTAATCATTCCAAACAAGAAAGTTCATTGGTTTTTATTGTACCCAAAAATTAATTATCAAAAGTTTTTTTGGATTAAAATATATTTCAAATTAATGTTTTTTATTCCATATTTCATCAAAAAGTCTTAAAAGTTTTGACCCAAAAAAGAAAAACCTTTTTGCACTTAAGATTAATTTTATGTAATTACGTTTAAATTTGTAATTAAAATTGAATCACACGGAATAATAATTATTTTATTTGATGTTTATTTTTTAAGAGGTGCTGAAGTTTGAAGTGTTATTTCATCTCTGATTAATAAAAAAATGGTGCTGATGTCTAAAATTTGAATTAATAAGACTGTTTGTTTTTGTAAACTGATAAATGTCTGAATTTGTTAAAATTGTATTTTTTATCCATTAGAAAATTTTATTGTTAAATTTATACAAATTAACATGTTTATTCATCATCGTTACGAAATTTACATCTAAATTATACTAGAAGGGTACTTACGCAATGCAGCGAGATATATCTTGATTTTAATATTTCATTTTATTTTTTATCTCAGTCGATATTATAATATGGTCTTATGTGATTTTGAGAAAGTGATGATATTTTTATTTTTAAATAAAATATAAATTTGAAAATATCATAAAAATTTAACAAAAATATATTGATATTAGTATCAAATTAACTATTTAAAATTTCTCATTTTTTGTGTAATTTTTTAATTATAATTTAATTTAGGTACAATAACGAAGTACTTTATATTTGGTTTAATAATATAACTTTTTTATAAAAATAATAATTAATTATTTTGTTAGAACTCGATAATTATCCTAATTATATTTTAGATTTTTTATATTTTAAAATGAGATGTTTATCTTCTATTTGATTATGTTTATCCGTAGTTAGTTACACGAGTTTAAACATGGAACTTTAATATGTTGTACTTAATACATAATTTACTTGTAATCTTGAATGTTAAGTAATATGCATCAATATACAATACTTTATGCATAAAAATGGTTTTTAAGAGTTTTTGTCAAATGTTTTATAATATAGTATAGATAATTAGCATTCATTTAAACGAAAATATGTCATTAACGATATTTAACACATTTAAATCTTATTAAAATATACCAATTAATATAATTCATTAAATATCTATAATAAAAAACTAAATATATTTTATAACAAAATACATCATTAAAAATATCTCGTCAAGACGATCAAAATGACATCAATATCGAATACCTAAAAGATATAAAATCATATAATATATTCATTGTCTTTCATTTTTTTAACGGATCGATTTTTGTGTTTCCTTGTCATTGTATTTTTGTATGGATGAGTTTTATTGTTTAATTTTTTCAATAAAATATAAATTTCATTTAAAAAGAAAAGAAAATCTGATTTAAGGGGTTGTTTGTTTGACAAAAAAAATCTGCATCTTAATGGTTCTAAAATCTTTTGAATGATTTTGTATCATGGGTCTCACTTAACCATTAAGATCCCCAATTTCATTGTAAACAATTACGAAACAATTATATTTCATTTTGGACGACATCATGAGAGCCTCTCATCATTTCAACCACTTAATCATTCTACACCAAACTATTCAACAACTGTCAAACAACGTTTAACTCATTTATTTAACTTATAATACGTAGTAGCTTTAAATCAAGATGAGATCTAATGGCATAATTAATTAATATCGTACCATATATTCTATTGACCGATGTTACAATTTTTAATGCAAGTTGTACAATAAAATATTCTCATAATTAAATTTTATAATATTTAATTTCACATTTAATATAATATAAACATATAATAAGATACATTTAAACGGTCATATAATTATATTTTAATCTCTAGAATTTTAACACCAATTTTAGTGATTTTTATTTCATGTTTTTAAAATTTAAAAACGTCATTTGAATTAATATTATTAATAAAATGTCTGTTAAATATACCATGTACATGTGTCTCTCATATGAAGGGCAAATATGTAATTTGAATTAATAGTGGATGATGAATGTTGTTGGTTCAGGGAAAAAAAAAGGATAAAAGGACCAAATTGCCCCTCATATTGAGCGGCACATGATTGACTTAACAAATGTTGAGTTAACTCTGTTAACTTGAGGGAGTTTTTTTGTCTCTCAAACACAAAATAAGAACCATTGATGTTAGACCTGATCATTTGCGGGCTTGGGCCAGGTCTGGTCTAGGCCGAGCCTAACCTATTTTTCTTGTCCAATATGCTTAATATGTCAAATCCAAGCCCAGATTTACGGACCTGAAAACTTGCCCACACCCGTCATGTAAACGGGCCAGTCTTGCCGACGGGCTAACGGGCCTTAAAATCTTTTTATATTTGTAAGAAAACAAAACTTACATAAAATCAAAAATTATGTAAAATAATTCAAAATACATAACAATTTTTCCAACTTAAAATTAGATGTAAATACATAACAACGTGCATAATTTATAAAAAAGTTGTTTGCAAAATATGGAGCATCGATAAAGGAAATGACCAAATACATTAATAAGGAATTGATCAGTTAAGGTAATTATGTTTTTACTTCTTAAATTTCTAAAAATTGTTATTATCGTAAGTCCTAATTAAGTTATAAAAAAATATTTAATTTGTATATTTTAATTATAAAAGATAATTATTATAAAAATATTAACGGGTCAAACGGGCCTGTCCAAATTTTTTTTCTTTCGAGAATTTGATAATCCAAGCTCCCTTTTCTAGCGGGCCAGACAGAACAGGTCCAGTAGATCGTCCCACTCATAAATAGCTCTAAATGAGAAAACATTTAACTATAATTCAACTGCATATAAACAATAAAAATCTGTTATCTCAAAATCTCAGGTCTCCTGTGTGTTATCGTATACCTAAAAGTGATTGTATATTTGGACATTTTGTCGTGATATTTATGTTTAAATCTATAAATCTTAAAACGTTCGAATCCGCAATCAAAAACCACGATTTCAAGCACAAACGAAGACAAAAAACAAGTACAAGTGACGAATTCATTCGAATGGATCATATATACATTGAACGATAACCGCGTTTTTCAAAACGAAGATTATATTCACGATCAAAATTCTAAGCCACTATTTAATTGAACCGAAAAAGAAGGCCGACCAACATTTCCAAGAGGAGTTTCGACTTTTAATACGATACCCGTTCTTCCAACATCTCCGTTCCACTTCGACCTACCTACCTGCATTATTAGAATGCAAGAGTTGATACAGATTCATAATAGAAGTTACTGGTAGCCCACAACTTTAAGCGTATAAGAAAATCTCCAACAGATTCTCCAAAATTTCTTCAAAATGGAGAACCAAAAGTCAAAATCTCCAAAATAAATTACATTCATCTCCAACAGATTCCCCATTTTGGAGATAGTTTTGGGGAATCTGTTGGAGCAAAATATTGGCTCAAAATTCCCATTTTCTCCATTTTCCCAATTTTGGAGAAACTGTTGGAGATGCTCTAAGGAGCTCACAAATCTATTTTTCTATCCACAACCTTCGTGTCAGGTGAGGAGTGTGTGTGAGTATTGTAGTATAAGTAAGATATTATATACTTCGGAAAAAGAAAAAAAACGTACGGATAGTGAAGCAAATGCTGAGGGATGTGATGTTAACGAATAACCCCCGATGAGATTCAACTTTTCATTCACTGAATGCACAAGTTCCGCCTTCACACCGGGATTGCTCCCACCAACGGTTGGGTGTAAGCTAGCCAAGCATAACAGACAGATTACTTGCATATATGGAGCTAAAAAAACAAACACTACAACAAAATGGATTTTGTAGGACGCCAAATATATCTGAATGTCCTAATAGACTGCTTTATATGACTTAAGTTTATAGGAACCAAACAATTGTTCGTCCTATGTAAATGTGTTGCAATAAGTTTTCTAGGACGCTTTTGATATAAAACGTCCTATTACTCTTTTTATATGACATTATGTGAAAAAAACGTCCTATGTTATCAGGACGTTTCTTAAAAATGTCATACAAAATAAGCTAGTAGAACACTTTTATTCCAAAAGTGTACTACAAAACTTGTTAACACGTCCAAAAGCATTCTATAAACTTATTGTAACAACTTTACATAGGACGTACAGTTGTTTGATCCTATAAATTTAAGTCTTATAAAGCACTTTATTAGAACATTTAGGCATATTTGACGTTTGGTCCGGTCCTCTAAATTTAAGTCTTATAAAGCGGTCTACAAATGCTCATTTTCATGCAACGAACCCTAGTACCTGAATCGGACGGTTGGTCTCATCATGAGACCAGATCTCTTCCATGCTAAAGCTTGTTCAAACCCCATGGTGAACGATCTATCGGGCCATTGAACCATTGGTGTGATGCATGTTCCCCAATTATTCTACAAACAAATCTCCATATCAGAAAAGAATTTCACAACCAACCACAGTAGTACCCAGGTTACCAGTAGAACCCAACCTCCACCAATGGAGGTCAAGGGTTCAAGCAAGTTTTCTAAATGGCGTGAGGTGTGGCAGCAAAACCACTGTGTTTTTCAAGGCGTGACTTATGGCAACAAATCTCTATCTCATATATAATATTATATATATATATATATATATATATATATATATATATATATATATATATATANATATATAATATTATATATATATATATATATATATATATATATATATATATATATATATATATATATATATAAAGAGAGAGAGAGAGGGGGGGAGGTTCAAACGAGAATAATAACTAATAAGATAATATGAAAACAACCAAATCACATGCAAAATCACATGTGATTTTACACTACCGGTCAACATAAAGGTGTGCAAGTGATGTGGCCAGTGACCTCAAAGTCGCATCGCGGCCAAAGTCACGTGAATCACATGTGATTCGACCGTTTTCTTTTTATCTTATTTGGTTACTGTTCTCATATGAACCTACCTATATGTGTGTGTGTTCTACTATTACTCAATGAGGTCGATGATATTAAACAATTTAAATTAGGTTATATATTAAAAACTACTAACAAGTAAAACATTAAAAAGATAAGAAAAATCAAATATCGCCTAAAAAACTGGGCATTAGACCATGGTGTGTCATAGGCTCAACGTGTCGTCAAACACAAGCCTTGAGCCATGGCACGCCACGATGGCTATTGTGGCGAGCCTTTTCCTCACCAAAGGTGACGAGTGTGTGTGACTTTTGCCGTCTCATGTATAAATATTATATACTTCCGGAAAAAACTCACCTTGCACGAGAAACTGAACCTCATTTCTCCCGGATAACGACCTTGAGCTTGAAGCAAACCACCAAAAAGGGGTAAGAAAGCACTTGTCGATACGCCTTCACCGGCAACATAGGTCAATTGACCGTTCGGAAACTGCAAATCCATGAACGACTGCACGATTCGGTACAAAAGAAATGGGAATTCAAACAACCCGTGTCAAGAAATCCAATATTTCTCGAAATTTATCGAAGATTTTGTTTATAATGATCAAAGGGACTTTTTGTACTCACACAAGCCAAAGGATTAAGGCAAACCATGGACATTAACAGCCACCTTCTATGCTTTGACCACACAGCTGGACAAAGAGAATGCATTCCATTCTGGTAATAAACAAAAAGAAATTGATATAAAAAACTAATACGACACTTTATTTTTAAAATGTCCTAAATAACTTGATAAAAAGGCCAAAAACATCCTATAAAGTTATTGCAACGCTATTATAGGACACACAATTGTTTGGTCCTATAAAACAGTCTATTATGACACTTAGGGGCTGTTTGGTTGATTTTCCATTAAGTCATGTATGGATAAAGTTGCTTGTGTGGATTAATCTATCTGTATCGGTTGAGAAGGTTCTTATTTGGGAGGGTTTTTTCATAGATGGAAGGAGAGCGTTTTTTAATTGGGAGGGGCATGTTTGGAAAAAACTTGGTTCTCTGCATAAAGCTCCCTCCTAAAAGCTTACTGAATAAGCCACTCCCTATATCATTAAGATTTAAGCCACTACCAGACCATGTATAGCTGACTAAATAAGCTGTGAGTTCCATTAAGCTCATTAAGCTTCTAACAAATGGACCCTTGGACATTTCTGGTATCCTATAAACCCGTTTTGTTGTAGTGTTTTTTGTACCATAGTTCGGTGTAGGGATGAAATGCTAGGAAATCGATGTCGTGGATTCGATTCTCGCTGATGAAATCGCTTCCTAGGCATGCGTAATTAGGGTATTTTGGAAGTGAAGATGGTCCATAGTTAGGGAGAAAATGAGTGCATACCAATAAAGAAGAGAAGATAATTTGACTAGCAATTCTAACAACCTACCAAAGGGAAATTGGCCTAGTGGTACCTGGGTTACTGGTAGAGTGTCAGCCACCAAGGAGGTCAAGGATTCAAACCTCACCAAAAGGTTTGTTGTATATAAATATCATATATATATATATATATATATATATACTTCAAAATTCTAACAACCTAAAGACAACAATAGATAGAGCCTCTAAAGAAGAAAATCTGGACATAGTTTAGTAATTTACCAATCTTGTCTCATCTCCCTGGTTTTTGCTCCACCTATTTCAGGGAGACTGAAAAAAATGCATTTTTGTCTCATTCATGTCCCGTCTTGTCTCAGTCTAATGTCATGTCAAACGTGGGATAACAAGTTTTTATATTGTCTTGTCTCGTCTTGTCCAATATACCAAACACACATTAACACTACAAGTTCTTCTACGCATACATATCCAAACACGCGTATGCATTGATCACACATCAGATTCTTAAGTAACTTCTACAGAACCAAAATTCTATATAAACGATTGGAGATAGAATATATATACCTTTCTGTCGTAACCATACCAAAGTAAATGTTGTTTTGACAAATGAACCGGCAGAAGAAGAGTAGAATCACGAACGAACAATACTGGTCCAAGCTGCACAAGGAAAAGGGACGGATTTACGTTCCCGGATGTGGAACTGCCACGTGATGCTTCTACTCTCCAGAAATCTCCCCGTGCAACCAAAGAACTTTCCACGTCATGTGTCCGGCTGTCGAATGTTGACGAAAGATTAAGTATCCCCTGCAATCAAATAGAAACAAATTAAGATCACCCGCAAACGTAAAGAAGAACCAGTTCTTAATGGTACAGAAGTGGAAACAGCTGGAGGTCTTCATGAAAACAGACGCTCTCCTCTTTCGAGGTAGGGGTCAGGTCTGCATACATCTCACAACCCCAAGAACCAACTCCCCAGGTGGGATTTTCTGGGTTTGTTTGGTTTATCATTTCCACATTCAACAAGTGTTACGACACGTTATTGACTTATTGGCTACGAAGATCTTTATCATTTCAAGTTTTGAACCACCGAGGCATAAATGGATTATGGCATGATGCATGCACTGAATATGGAAAGGACTACTTGTGCTTCTATCACAGAAACCAATCGTGAGTTTACGGGTCAGCTTGGGTGCACCTCGACTAATCCCAAAGGCCCTAGAAGGCTAGAACAGCCAGGAAAATCCCAGTGCCCTTGCAGGACTCGAACCAGCTAGAAAAATTTCCAATGGCCTTGCAGGACCCGGAACCGGAAAGGAAAATCTCTAATGGCCTTGCAGGATTCGGACCAGTGACCTACAAAGAGGAGCCCAAAGGCCCAAGCTTTATTACCAGATGAGCTAATCCTGCAAGGTTTTAGGGTTTTAATGGGAAACATAATACCAAGATAGTTCTCAAAATAACTGAAATGACCAATAAGTTTGATCTAATTAATCATCAACTTTCGGCTGCGAAATATACCTGCGGTTTGCCGGAAAATCGAGCAAGCTTCGAGTTAAATCCAGAAACCTCCTCTTCTTCTGACTCATCTTTCATCTTTTCAGTTTCATTATACCCAAAATCTTTAAGCCTTTTTGACAACACACCAATATCCTCATGAACCTGCGTATTAATCCCCAAATCACCAGTCCTCTGATCACCTGAATCCATCCTTAACACCACCGTATCTTGATCTTCCTCATGCCGGAATAATGGCACCGGCAACCTCCTAAAGAACTGCTGAACAACACCATTCAAATTGGCCCCAAAATCCACCCCAGCTTTACCTAACCTGCTTCCAATATCGAAAATGGCAGAAACCCCATTAACCCCATAACCCGATTTCTCGATCACAAGCCCAAGATCTCGTGTAACAAAATTGTGGGATGGGAATTCGACATCAAACAGTTTGGGTGGTTGAGGGTTTGGCCATGTAAACGATGGAGGAGTGATGTGTGATTGAATCAAACCTGTAAAACCTTGTGTTAATCTATCGGCTAAATCTAATCCATGGCGTTGCACCTCTTCCCATGCTTCAAATGATCTTTCAACAGACATCTTCTGAATCTAATAACGATCAGAACTCGAACTCCTTCGATTGCAGACGGTTTCCAAACTCATTCCACATGATTTAAACAAGTCAATCCAGTTGAATTGATGTCCGAAGGTGTTAAAGGGTGTTCTTGATGAAGTGGGAAATTGGGTAAAAGAAAGATTCTTGATTTCTTGAATATTGGGGGAAAGATAAGAACAGAAAGGAGTGTAGAATTGAAGGGATGGTTGTGTGTGGTGGTGGGGTTGTTTTTGTTTGTAGGAATTGGGGAAGAAAGTTTGCAATCAAAATGACTTTTTGGGCACTCTTGCATTTTGGTTTTTCATTTTCTTTGTATCTTGGTCAACTTGATTAAAAATCTAGATCTAAAATAAATAAAAGGGTTAAATGCATGAAATAACAATTTATTTTCATAAAATTTTTTATTATAGTATTTTATTTTTGTTTTTCTTTATTACAACAATATATTTTTAAATTATTTTTTATTAAGGCATTGTATTTTAAAAAATCTACTCATAATAGCAATGAGTAACATGTTACCTTTTAAACCGGTTAACCCTTTAACTTTTTTACTTGTGTGGCTTTAATGAGGTGATGTGGATGCCACATCATTTTGATGATTTAACTAAAATTAAAATAAAAACTTATTTCAAATTATTATTAGTGATTTTCATTTTTCATTACTATGATCTAAAAAAACTTTTATTTTATTTTTTTTACTTTTTTTTATTAAGTTTCTTTCAAATTAAATATTTTTAGAGTAAAATATTTTTAAATAAATATGAAACTTTATTTTCGAGATATATTTTGTTTGTAAAAAATGTAATTTTTCCTATTTTATGTTGTTCAAAAAAAATATACATATCTTTTAAAGTTCTCTTTAAAATATTAACGAAATAAATTGTTATCTACAATTTTTTATTATTGTTATATTAATAAATAATTTAAAAAAGTCTAATTAATTTAATATATTTATACGTCAAGTAAAAAGTTTTTAAACAAATATAATATATTCTTTAAAAGATAATATTTTTTGGTAAAAAAAAACAATTCTTATTTTCCTTTTTCCAAAAAACACATTCTTTTAATGTTAGCAAGATAAGTTGTGTTATACTATTTTTATTGATATTGGTATATTAATGAATAATTTAGAATTTTTTTAATTCATTTAATACATCTATTAAATAACATGTAAAAATCTAAATATTAAAATTAAAAATACAATGTTTAGTAAGAACTAGTAGATGTTAAAATAAAATAATTTTGAAAGTACAATGATGTAGTAAGAAAGTCACATCACTACAGTACATGTTGACAGCCTACGTGGACAATGAGGTGGCATGAAAACCTAGTATAATGAGTAAATTTAAATCAAAAGGTTACTCAATGCTATAATGGATAAAATTTTCAAAGTACAATGTCCTAATAAAAAATAGTTTGAAAGTACATTGTTGTAATAAGAAAAACTGAAAGTACAATGCTATAATAAAGAAATTTATGAAAGTAGATTGCTATTTTGTGCATTTTGCCCTAAATGAAAATCCTTTTGAGTAAGTTATGATTTTTGGTGATTTGTTAATAATTTCAATTTTGTTTCTTATTGTTTAGAAATTGTGATTTTCGTTCTTGTAGTTTGAAATTTATTGTTACTGATTTATAGCATAAGGAAATAAAGCAGTAAAGAATTTTAAATTGCACGGACTGAAACAACAGTAAGGGGTTGTTTACTTGCGGCTTAATTAAGTTTATGGATCTATCTGGCTTATTTGCATAGCTTGTTTGGGTTGTTTACTTACGGCTTATCCGCATAGAACATGACTTGGTAGCAAATGTAGAAATTATGTGTTGTCCCCATTCAGCCACAAAAATGACACACATACCCTTTATATTAAAGCACCGCCTCCTAATCATATGAGACACCTCATATTCGATCTCTTTATGATTTTTTATTTTGATATTCAAATAATTAATATTGGGGTGTAAATCGGTCATTTATGTTATTCAAACTGTTGAGTCAGATAAAAAAAACAACAACACCCGTTTATCTAGACAGACAAATTTATTCATATAAGAATTAATAAAAATTTTGGTAAACAGCCCCTAAATTATAGATTATAAGAATAAAAATAGCAATTATTAACAGACCATAGGGATGAAAATCGTAATATTTAAATTATAGGAACGGATATTTCAATTTCTAAACTATAAGGATAAAAAACTTAATTGATTCAATAGCTTTTAATAATATTTTTATATTAGTCGTATTGTTTCTAATTAATAAATGATTTTTTTATCATTTTAATTGTTTTTTTTCATTTAATTGAATTACTTTAGTAATATTTATACGTATTTATACATATTAAAAATATGGGTTTGTTAAAATACGTACATAGAAACCAGGGCCGTCCATGAGGGAGGGCGTACGCCCAAGGCCCATAAAAATTAGGGGCCCAAATTTTTTTTAATATATATAATAGTAGTTCAAAAAATTAGTAAAAAGAAGACACAAAAAATAGTATCTAATATGACAAGAAAAGATTTTGATACTACATTAACTATTAAAGACCCAAACATGTATGAATTAAATATATTAAAAACCAACCTATTTACATTGATTTACATAGTATCATTCGAAAATCAGAAGAATTGACTTTGTGACCTCAAATGATATCATTCTATGTACCAAAAGTATATCATAGAATGTTTTTGATAATGAAACAAATTACCGATACTACATAAAAATGTTCTAGTAGATAATATTAATTTAGAAATGAGTATTGATTGATTTTGCGTCCAGGAATACTCGGAAAAACGATTTTATATGAATTCAATGTTATTTCTGATGATAAAAACAATATATTGAAAAAATATCGTACTTATCGAGGGCCCCTTTTTACTTCTCGCCCAGGGCCTAAAAAATGTCAGGAACGAGTCTGAATTAGAAACTTACAAGTACAGTAAATATTTTGTTTATGTTGCTTGTATTAAACTTGGAATTCAGAGAGACTGGATGGGACAGAACGAGATGAGACGAGATTGGATAAAACTGGATTGGACAATACTGGTTGTCTATCTTACTTTGGTACGACTAGATCATGATGAGACTAATTATCTGTTTTGCGTTTAGTAAGCATGACATATTGAGACAAAACTATTAAAATGACTAGATTACCCTTGCCACGAATCAACCAAAAACTTGTAAACTACAATTTCKGGTCATATTTACTTGTTCAATTTTTCTACAAGTATTAGTGTTGTTTTGTACAAATATGTATAATGGATAATAAATAAATAAATAAAAACCAACCCAAAACAAAAAACAATCGAGATGCAACACTGCTACCTTCTTCGATCATTCCCAATCTCCAAACACTCACTTGTTACAGGTACCACCTTCCACTGTCATTACCTTCTTCGACTGCTAATTTGTTATTGTTACTGCTAATCAGAAAACAATTCCAGATATAGAGTTCGAAGAAAGAATATTGGAGCTTCGAATAGATAGGATGCGCCGAGTGTTCAATGGATTTGACCTTCTCTGTAATTAGTTTCCGGTTGTTATCTGCTTCACTGCTCGAAACACTGATTCAATCGAACCAAGATGAACAACGTTTGTGTTTGGAAGATGAGATCAAGTTCAATCTAGACTTGGAGAAAGGATGCATCTGATTTTGTGATGTTCTTTATTTTAGGTTCGAGGAGGGTAAGATAGTCATCTATTGTTTTTGTCCTAGGTTGTTTTATCTGTTTCGGTGGAACCAAAAAAAAACTCAGTTTTTATCCCACTTTGTTACATCTTGTTTTTGTTCCCTCGCATGACAAACACGGGACTAATTTTTTTTTTTTTTTTTGTCCCGTCCCATACAGTATGTGAAAGAAGCATCCTCAACAAACATGACCTTACAAAGGGATGGAACGGTCATTATAATTATATGAAAATATATCTCTGATTCAGTAAAATAACCTGGACTTTGTTTATCTATCCTTTTTTTTTTATAACTTGGACTCATTTTAGATCATACCAAAATAGCGTTTTAATAAGTTAACTTAGAGTATCTCTAACAGATTCTTCAAATTTGTAGAATTTCACACACACACACTCTCTCTCTCTCTCTCTCTCTCTCTCTCTCTCTCTCTTACTTTCTCGATTTTGGAGAATATGTTGGCGCAAAATTTCTCAAAATCCCCAAAATCATTATTTTCTTCATTTTAAGGAATCTAGTGATTTTCTTATAAGCTACTTTTGTCTATCTAAAAGACATTTTTAAAATAAGCTTTAAAAAAAATAAGTTAGTTTGTATTTACCACGTGAATATATATATATATATATATATATATATATATAGAGAGAGAGAGAGAGAGAGAGTGTGTGTTGGGTTTTAGTGAAACTAAGAATTAATATAAGAAGCGTAAGAAATGATCCCCACCATTGGATGTACATTGAGATAAGATGCACCAGATCAATCCTTATATTAAACAATTCGGGAATAAGTTTGAAATTAAAGATGATAAGGATCCATATCTTTTCTCATAATTGTGTTATTCACTCTCATTTTCATGCGATCCTTCACTATATATATATATATATATATATATATATA